AAATGACATGAATTTCATGCAAAAATTACAAAAGGAGCCCTCTTGCTGATAATAAAAGTTACACAGTCATAGAAAACCCCTCCTCCTCCTCCTCCAGGACCAAAGAGGAAGAGGAGCAAGAAGGATGAACTTCTCAGGATAAAACACAGCCCTCATCTCCCCCAGGCCTGGACAATGACTCCACACAAAGTCCAGGATCATCGCTGGAGAAGCCAGGGCACCTGTGGCCACTGGAGCTGGCAGGGCAAGCCCCAAAGGCAACCACCTCACGCTTGGCAAACCTGACTGCAACACTACCCCGAGGGCCTCCTCCTGGGAGGGGGAGCTAGTCTCTGAGTCCCCCAACCTCACCTAACTAGAGCAATCCTGCTTCTGTCCCAGCTGTTATTTTCATTAGGCCATTCTTAGATGTTTGAAAACCACTGCTGCAGCCCCACCCATTCATGTTATAAATGGGAAACTGGGAGCCCTGGGAGGACAGCCATCACAGTTACTAAATGGCCCCAGTGGGACTCAATCTCATTTCTCCTCCCTCCAGCCCAGTGCTCTTCTCCCCACACTACAGCTAAGGCAGGCAGTTCCCTACCCAGGCCCTTCCCTGGTGCCTCCCAGGGGCCTGGTCCAGCTCAAGTGCACACCTGAGTCCACAACAGACCACCACGGGCCTCCGGGGAATGAAAACTGAAGGAACCTGAGAGAGAGATGGAGAGATGCTGCTTGATGCCCTATGGACCATGCCCAGGGTCAAAGGGGCAGCACAGGCTCATTCTGACCTGAGACCCCAGCTGGGATGCTGTCTCCTCCAGGAAGCCTGCCCTCGCCCTCTCCTGAGCCCCTGGAGCCCTAACTACTCCTCTGCTGGTGTGGTACTTGGTATAGGTGACAGTGGGGGCACATCTTAGGCAAGAGTGAAGTTGGCAAGCCAGCGCAGAAGACAAAAATCCAAAAAGCCTAAATTACCCTTCACAATACAGGGGATAGAGAAAGTAATTATAGACACTATGAAGACAATCAGACAAGGCCAGGATGTGAGGCATCTACAGACAGCAGGCCACTAGCCTCCAAAAATCAATGTTGTGGAAAAAATCAAAGTGCACAGAGGGGGCTTCTCAACATTAAAAGAGATCAAAGAAATACTGTATGAAATGCAATGTATGCACCTTAACTGTCTCCTAATTTGAAAAGCAGCTACAAGTCACCTGGGGAACATGAAGGAACATTTAAGTATGGATTGGATAGCAGCTGTTGTTAGGTGATGACTGTCGTCTCGAGTGTGATACTGGGCCCATATAAAGGAAAATGTCCTAATTCTTAAGAGATGCTGGGAAAAGCATCTAGGGGAGAAGTCTCATGAGGCTTGCAACTTTTTAAATAGTTCAGGAAAAAAAAATATACAGAGAAACAAATGTGCAAAAAATGTTAATCATTTTAAATCGGGACGGTGGGTATATGGGTGTTCATGAAAAAAAAAAAAGTAAAATATTGTTTTACTTATTCTTCTAATAACCCATGGGGATGGCACCACCTTGGGGACTGCCGGTTTCTGCTAGGTCAGTCCAATCAGTTGTCCACTGGTGGGAATAGACTGCTGCTTCCTCAGGTGGGCCCGAGAGGTATAGTTACCTGTATTTCGTTGTTGCTGGGTGTGGTCAAGCAGATTCCGACTCATAGCGATCCAAGTGACAGAGTAGAACTGCCCCATAGGATTTTCTAGGTTAACCCTTACAGACGCTGACTATCAAATCCTTCTGCCACGGAACTACTGGATGGGTTCAAACTGCTGATCTGTTAGTTAACTTAACTGCTGTACCACCAGGGCTCCTCTGCTAATTTTTTTTGTTAGGTGCCATCATGTTGGTTCTGACTCATAGCAATCCTATGTACAACAGAACAAAGAAACACTGCCTAGTTCTGCACAATTCTTGCTATGCTTAAGCCCATTGTTGCAGCCCCTGCGTCAGTCCATCTCGTTAAGGGTCTTCCCCTTTTTCACTGAGTCTCCACTATAGCAAGCATGATATCCTTCTCTAGGGACTGGTCCCTTCTGACAACATGACCAAACATGAGATGAAGGCTGGCCACACTAATATTTGGGGGCTTGGAAAAGGCTCATCTTTAAATAGAAGACTTGCCCTCCCAGTGGCAAGAATATCTGCATCTTGGGAGGCTATAAGAACCTGGAGTGACTGAAGCCACTACTCCTAACTGGGAACAAGGGTCTTGGAGAAAATGCAGACTGGAGGGTAGAGTCACCTGCATCCTTTAAGCTATTTCTCCCTATCTCATTTTTTTGTCCAATGGCTTAACAGCAAATTGATGAAGATTAGAGATGCTGATGATACTGCACCCACTGGACTCTGGTTTTCTCTTCTCGTGGGGGAGTCTGTGTGCCCATTAGCTGAGAGCCCATAAGGGGACTAATCCCCACCCCTAAGGGCCTGGCAGTGTCTGGGTCTAGTGGATCCTCAGGGAAGATTGATTAGAGAGAAGATTGATTAGTGGGAAGAAAGGAGCAGCAGTGACCAGACACTTAGACCATGTACAGCTCAGGTTCCTAGTCCCCCTAAAGGACCTGGACAAAAATCCAGAATATCTCCTCTGCTCTCACAGAGTCTCAAATCTCTGTTTCTTCCTTGGGCCAGAGGCTGAGAGAAGTGAACTGCCTTCCCTACTAGTGTTTGCTCCATCCAGTCAGTCTGGGCCTTCTGGGCCCAGAGGGAAGACCACAGAATGTGGGAGCTATAAGGTCCTCACAGACATGGAAACCAACCCATCAAAGAGAGATGGGAAGTGAGGCCCCACTCTGGTTGTCTGAGTCCACTGTATGGGCAAGTCTTCACACATGTATGTGTGGACATCCCACTCTGACCCCAGACACTCAGCTCCTGCTCATCTGCTCCCTTCCCATCTTGGCCCAAGGTTTCCTTGGCCCAAGGGCTTAAAGGCCCCAATAAGAAGCATGATGGGAACTCTGCCCAGTAGGACACAATGAAATCACACAGATCTGGTCCACCACCCAACTTTCTTCTCCACCCAGTGTAGAACTTAAGAAAAAGGTATCAGTCCAGAACTGAGACAGATTGAGGCCCCACAGGCTGGAGAAGGACCCATCAAGGTAAGGAGAGCAAAACAGGGATGCAAATGCCAATCTGAAACTGAGAAGGCTCAAAGGCACCCTGGCTGTGAAGGAGTGGTTTATCCCCTTATCCTGGAATGACCAAGGGTGTGACTGAGGGAGGGATAGGAACCTGGCACAGAGTAGGGTCCCAAGGATGGGCTCAGAGGCAGTGTGGCATTGGAAGAGCACTGGACACAGGATCAGGAGCCTTAAGTTCAATTCTTAGCCTTGTTCCCAACCAGCTCTGTGACACTGGCCAAGTAAGCCACCTCCCCTTTCTGGATCTGTTTCCACACCCATTGAAACACCCTTCCAGAGCCAAGATGCTAGCTAGTGTCTTCTGAACCAGACAAGGCTCGCCAGAAAGTGTTTCCTGGCTGTCAGTTCAAAGCTGAGTTGGCAGTTGGAGGGCACTAGGGCGAGGCACCCCAGCCTCAGTCACTTCACATTGTTAAAAGAAGGGGGGTGTAGGAGCAGACCCCAACCAGAAAACCGCCCAGAGATCCCACGGTCTACAAGGGGGCCTAGAGGCAGTTCTGTGGGTCCCAGTGGACATCCCAGTTCCTAGGGCAGCTCCCAACCTAGCACCATGTAAGGGGGAGGGGGGCGGACCAATCTTTGGCCCCAGCTCTCCTACCCAGCCCCAGCTGTTTCCTTTGGCCAAAATTTCCTCAGGGTCCCTGGGCTTCATGAAGCAGGATTTCCTGGACAGGGCTGTTCTTCCCTGTACATCTCACCACCTTCGTTCACCTGGGGTACCCCGGGATAGCTATGGCACTTGGCAGAGAGAAAAGAAACTTCTCCAAGGGCTCTTCCATACTGTTTTCTTGAGGCCCAAGACATGAAGATACACACACACACACCCCTTCAATTTCATTCTCTACCTCTGAGATATGACACCCTTTGGAACTGGGGCTTGCCATCATTTTGTATGACTGAATTAAAAATAAACCCAACCAAAAAAAAAAAAAATAGAATATATATATACACATTTTATATATATAGATATAGATATATATCTATATCTATATCTATATATATATATATATATATGTATATATATATATAAAAACACAGTGCGACCCCAGCACCCAGGGTTTAAACTCTGGCACCAAGAAAAAAAAATTAAAATACTTTAGCTTCTTAGTATTTGAGAGGTTAAAGGGATGTCTGGGAGCCCTCAGCCACAGGAAGCTAGGGCAAAGCAGCAGACGGCAGTCTCACCAGCTCTGCCCAGTGTCTGCCAGGGGCCAAGGCTGGGTGGACACAGGGACAACATATGTACATTGGAACGTGTATTCTGGCAGACTCCTGAACCACCTCAGTGTTTTACCACAGGAAACACCACACATGTCATATCCCAGGGTGAAGAAAGGGAGGAGGATTGAGGCCTGGGTCTCTAGAGTTCAAATGGCATGGCAGTGCCCCAGGGCCTGGAAGAGACCTTGAGGACTGGGTGGCTACTGTAGGAACCAGAGATTCTTTCCCAAAAAAAGGGAAGCTGAGAGGTGAAGGTATTAACCAGAATGTGTGTGGAGGTTCAGAGTTCTCTTGAAGTGGCCACACTCACATCCTACCTAGTGACTAACCCCTCTCGATGGCCTGGCTCAAAACAGTCAGGGAAAAGTCCAGTCTCTCTCCCTGGTTTGGCAAAAGGCCCAGCTGGGTTCTTCTCCCTTGTCTGGAGGACAGGGAAAATACGGCAGCTAATACTGAGGGGACACCCTGCTGGGGTGGGTGGTGGGATGAAGGAGGATATGGTTGGTAGAACACACTGAGGGAAAGGGAAGAGAGTCTCATGGAATCCCTCCTACCAGGAAGTGGTCTTCCACCAGCAGGAAGTGGCCTTCCCTCCAAAAGAAAGTGGTCTCTCCACAGAGAGGCTGTGAACGGAATTGACCTCTGTTGGTTAGGGAGGTCCTACAGGCCACAGACCCAGCAATGGATGCTCTGAGGCCTTTGTGGACCTGCCTAGTTTCTTTTCCTGGCCCTGTCTGGGCCTTGGCAGAGTATTGCTCATAGTGCTTGGCCAGCATAGGCCCAGCTCCCCACCTTGCAGGTCAGTCTGGCTCAGCGTGCGGCAGGACGTCCCTGCCGTCACAAATGTTCAGTCTGGCTGTGGTGGTCACAGCTACCTGGTGTTCTGAAGGTCCTCCCGCAGCCAGGTGGGCAGCGTCTGGCCCATCTTGTATAGCAGCTTAGAAAGCTCAATGTTGTGGTCTCGGTAATAATCCTTCAGGAAGGCTCGGGACTGTAACAGGAAGGAAAGCTCAGATCTTGGTGATGTTCAAGAATGAACCCCTTCCTTCCTACAATCACCATTCTGTTGGATTCATCCTATACATCTATTATTTATTCACAATCTTCTTCTAAATGGTAGCCTCCAATACAGAACTTCTATACAGCAGAAGCACCAAAATTTAGTACAAAAAAAATTCTTGTGATAAGGAGAAAAGAGAAAGAATTCATCAGAATCTGAAGTCAATGAGAAAAGGGAAACAAAAGATTCGGTCTGTGACCTTTCACCTATATGCTTCCGCACATGTAGAACACACTGAAGGAAAGGGAAGACAGTTCTTTTCAGCAAGAATGCCTTATCCTTCCATTCCACAGGTCCAAATTCTACCTCATCCTTCTAGGCCCAACCCCACAGACCCTCTCCCCTCCTGTGAGAAGCCTTTAATACCCCTTCCAACTTCAAGTGACATCTCCTTATTCGAAAGTCTTATAGCACAATGTGCACTCTCTTACTACACACACTACATGCTTTCTGCCTTGTATTCCTATTGGTGTTTGTGTCTCATCTCCTTCCTAGACAAGAAGTCCTTGAAAATCGGGACCATGTCTGGCTCATCCTCAAAGTCCCACAGCAATCAGCCCTGAGTGCCACCATCACCCACTGCCATCGAGTCGATTCCAACTCATAGTGACCTCTAGTGGGTTTCCAAGGTGGTAGATTATAATGGAAGTCAATTGCTTCACCTTCCTTCTATGGAGCAGCTGGTGGGTTTAAACTGCCAACCTTCTGGTTAGCAGTCAAATGCCTTAGCCACTGCGCCACCAGAGCTCCTTCAGCCCTCAGTTGCTACTATTGAACTACGTCAATTCTGACCAGTATGTCCCAGCCCATATTTCCTCCTCCTAAGAACACTGTCCAAGAAATGCCAAGGCCATTAACGTCCTGGGCATAGGGTACTCAAAACCCAAATCCATTGCCATAGAGTAGATTCCAACCTATGGCAACCCTATAGGACAGACAGGGTTTTCAAGTCTGTAAATCTTTACAGAAGCAGGCTGCCACATCTTTCTCCTCCAGAGTGATTGGTGGGTTTGAACCACCAACCTTTCGGTTAGCAGCCAGGTGCTTAACCACTGTGCCATGAAGGTTCCTGGGCATAGGGTAAAGGGAGAAAAGGTTCCCTTTATTACAGGAAACCCTTCCACTTATCCAGCTACTGCAGGTAGCGTGTCCATCACTTACATCCAAGTCCATCTCTGGGTATTTCCGGCCCTTGCTTTTGCCCAGACACTTGGTTTTTCCTCCTTCAAGCAGTTGACACCAAAATCCTTTCTTTGGATCAAACCTGTGGAGGTGGGGAAAGTCTGTGGAATGCGAGCTGGCCCAGCCCAGTCCCTTCCCTCCTTAAGGCAATGTTTACAAACCCCAGGAATGGCAGAGCCTTGGAGATTAGGGAATCTACTCCCCTACATGCATGCACACACATATGCATACACACACTCATACATGTACTTCTGCACCCACACTGATTATGTGGGGCTGATATTTACTTCTTTTGCCCTAGTTCTGCCCCTGGGCTTGAATAAACACACACGTCCTGAGTCTTCTCTCCTGTAGGCTGAGCTGCCTCCGGTCCTTCAGCAATCTATAACATGATTACTTTCCCACCCTTCATTATTTTGGGTAACCTCTTCTGAGCATTCTTTAACTTAATGGTGAGCAACTTTTTTTTTTTTTTTTAATTACCAGAACATAATAGAGGGGAAAATTTACTGGAGGTTCTTTTGGTTTTTAATCCATTGTATCTTTATCAGGAAATGTAATCTTTCCAGATGCTTTTAAGCATGTTCATCACAGACAAGTTTCACCTGATGAAGTAAATTTCAGAGCAAGCATGTCTTCGGTACCCAATGTCAAGCTAGGCCTTCAAGACATTTTGGGCAGATGAGCTCTGAAGCTGACACAGGGAGTGGAAGCACACTGGCACAAATTCAGCACCAGATATGGAACCATTAGAAGACTGTTTAAGAGGAAGGTATCAGGGAAAAAGAATTTATCTTTGGCAGGTAAGGGAATTAGGGATTGGAGTGGGTCATAGGGTAGGCAAAGTTATAGATACTAATAACTACAGTAATAGAAAACAAAAATCAAACCCACTGCTATCTAGTCAATTCTGACTTATCATAATGACCCTATAAGACAGAGTAGAACTAACCCCTTAGGTTTTTAAGGCTGTAAATCTTTACAGAATCAGACTGCCTCATCTTTCTCCTATGGAGTGACTTATGGGTTCGAACCTCTGAACTTCTGGTTAGCAGTTGAATGCTTTGACCATTATACCACTAGAACTCCTTACAGTAATAATGGCTATCATTTATTGAGCACTAAGCTAAGAGCCCCCTGGGCGTGCTTTCATTAAATACTCATAGTGACCCTCAGGGAGCTGGACTTACTATCTTTATCCCCAACATTCAGATGAGGAAAGTGAGGCTTGAAGAAGTTAAGGGACTTGCCCCAGGTGACAAAGCTGAGGAAGTAACAGATCTGGATTCTAACACAGGCATCTCTGATACCACAACCCACACTCTCAGCTGCTGCTCCACTCTACCTCAAGGTAAAGGACTGACTGCCCTTCTCCAGCCTCAACTTCCAAGATAATGAGAAGGGAACATTTTTGCTGTAAGACTTCCCTAAGAATGCAGCCAGACAGGGTGTCTTTATTCCTCCTTCTCTTGGAGCCTCCATATGTTACTAGCACTGGGAAGAAGCCTCTCCCAAGGTGCGATCCCTGGCAAATAGGCTGGCAGTTATTCACCTTGGGGAGGGCATTCTTGATGCTCTGGTGCTGGGTTCTAAGTGGGGTAAACAGCCATTAACAATAATATTTTAAGTTTCCTTCTACTGGAATTATGTATCATAATCTAATACTAAGAAATCCTTGTAGGAATCGGGACTGCTCATTGTTGGTCTAACTTAATTAGCCTAGACTGAAGAAAATTTCCCAGGGGTGCATTGACCAGAATAGCACAGATCTCACCTCCCTTTCTTGAGTGCATACCTTTATTAATATGATCCAAGATCAGCTTAGCTTTTCTGCTAACCTGCCCTCAGGGAAGTGCTGTGTACACTCTTGCACCTGCTGATTCTAATTAACCTGTGTCTCCCATAATCATTCAAGACTTTGGTTTTTTGGCCCATGTGGCTGATCAGAAGAATCTCCTTGTTGAAAGAGCAAGGCAACACTCACGCCAAGGTTTTGTGGTAGTCAATGGTATTGGCCACCCCAAGGAATTTCTGCACTGTATCCATCACTTTGGCAGGTTCTGTTCGCAGCAGTTTGCCATCCAATACCAGAATCTGGAATAAAGGACAGAGGAGTGGTGATCTGAACCTAATTCTACTTCAGTGCCAAGTAGGCTCTTAATCTGCTGGGTCAGTGACCATGGCATGGGATGGAACTGGCCACACATTTGGGACTCTGCACTCTAGAATAATCTCCTTCCACTTTTGAATGGCAAGTGTCCCCAGGCCTCAGTCTCTATTGTCTAATGCCCCACTCTCTACCAACTTCCCCTGACCAATGTCACCCTCTCCTAGAGTTTGAGATATTACCAAAACTCTAGAATCCTTCATATCCCTACACTATCCCTCTTTTGGGCTTTCTCCAGCCTCCCAGCCTACACATCATTCCCCTGCTTAAATCCCTCAAGGGCTTCCCTGAAAGGTTTTGAGTGATCTGCTTCCTTTCTGCCCCCTCCAGCTGTCTACCGCAGGGATTTCTGGGTCCCCTTCTACAGAATCTGCCATGGCAGACAAGGACTTGGTGAATTCTAACATATCAACCTTGCCATAAAACAGATTAAAGCCCAGAGTTCTACCATATCCACAAACCACCTATGTGTGCCACTGTCAAACCCTGAGGTTTAATTCACCAATGGTGGCATTTTGGGCCCTGTAACTGAGGAAAGTAAGGCTAGAAGAAATTAAAAGTCCAAGTGACATAGCTGAGGAAATAATGGATCTGGGACTCTAACACCACGTCTCTGACACCATGGCCCACACTCCTAGCTGCTGCTCCATTCGACCTTGAGGTACAGGACTGACTTCCCTTCCCCACCCTCAACCTCCAACATAGGGAGAAAGGAAAACATCTTCTGGAAGACTTCCCCATGAACACAGCCAGAGAGAGTGACTTTAATCCTTCCATTCTGACAGTTCAAGTTTCATCTCTCCAACTGCGGCTGAGATATTTCGAGGCTCTCCACTAACTACTGCAAACTAGTACTATGACTGCCCTCCCAAGGGTCACGGGACAGGCAGTTACCTGGTTGGCATGAAAGGCACTGAGCCAACGCTCAATGTGGGTGGCATACCAGCCAGGGACCAGGCAGCGGTTCTGCAGGGTGCGCAGCTTCGAGGATGCATCAGGCCCTGCCGTGATAACCTCATGGAAGGTGTACTTCAGGGCCACAGGGTCATCATGGGCTCGCTGGTGCTGCAGGCAAGTGAGAAGGTCAGCATGTCACATGGAAGGCACAAAGCTCTGAAGAGGCTTTCTTGGGACAGCAGCCTGGAAGGTGGCAAGGAGATCATGCACTGGAGCCAGGAGCTCTGGGTTCGAGTCTGGGCTCTGCCTCACTGCTGCTTGACCTCAGGGAAGTCACTGGTCCCTCTGAGCCCCAGCTTCCCTATCTTTGTAAGACAGGAGTTTAACTAGACTGGGGTTCCAAATGTTGTCTTTCACACACCCTTTCTGCAAATTCTACCATACCCATAAACCTATGTGTGCCACTGTCAATGTAATTTTCTTTATGTTGGCTCACCTTTCTTCTTTTATTATTTCAGAAAAAATCTCAATATCATCTCCATGAATGGAAAACAAGACTCAGTTGTCATAAATACAAGGTAACCACTCACAAATACAATTAAAAACAACAATGTTCTCAAACTCCAGCCAGATGTAAATGTCTGCTGCTGGCACCGAACCCAAAGCTTCCTCCCTCTTTGCTGAAAATAGAGCTCAGCAGTGTTAGAAAGGAGTCAAAGGGACATGCATCAGACTGAGAATTTCTTCTTTACTGAAATCAGAAGGACTGGAAAAGAAATGGAAAGGGGGAAATGGCAGATCTGAATCACCTAACACTATGGGCTACTGGGGTACATAGCCTCTTTGGGAAATACTGGATGGGCTCTCTAAATGTTCCTGCAGAATTCCTTGAATTGCAGAGCTCAGGACCTGTCCCCTAGGGGATAACCCTCACCAGGCCACCATAGCTCCCACCACTGAGGGTCACACACAGCCCATGGCAGGAAGCTGGTGTGATAATGGAGCATCACAGCCTTCCACCTCTGACCTCCCATCAGACAGAGGCATGCTTCTCCCTCTCCTTCCAGCACCTTCCTGGATCCTCCTGGTGGGAGCAGTCTCCCTTCTTATCTCCCTTACTCCCTTGACCATGGGCAGAAGAACAGGGTCTTAGACTTAGAAGACCTGGGTTCAAAATACCACCCCATGAACTCAAGCTAGTCACTTGACTTGTGGAGTCTCGGTTTTCTCATCTATCAGAAGGAGCCACACAAACCCCTCCTCTGCCTCCTAGGAAACGGCTGTGAAGCTCCAATGAGGTGGCATGTGGAAAATGCAGAGCACTGTCATTAGTACAGAGTGTGAGACTGACTCAATCCATGACAGCTGTTTCTCTATACACTGATACGTCCCCTCCTTTCCCAGCCCTCACTGCCTTGGAGTGGGGCATGTGGAATAGCAGAAAAGTAGCCTTCAGATGTTTCTGACTTTTCTTCCCCAAAGACAAAACCCATAGCAGAGGAGGGTTTCAGTGCAGAGATAAAATGTCCTAGAGAAGCCAGAGAAAGAAGGTGGCTTCCCCACCAGTCTTGAGGTGAACCCCTAGGCTCAGGAGGGGAAGAGAGGTCTGCAGGACCAAAGAGCAAGGAAGATCTGTGCCCTGCTGCCTGCCAGCAAAACAGGAGTATACCAAGGCCCCCAAGAGGGAATGGCCTTGTGAAGCATTCACATGAACAGGGTGGTAGGGAGCAAGTGAAAGGCCTTTCCACCCAGGCTGGTGGAGTCCTCCTAAGTAAAACCAGGGGCTATGGGCCAGGTGTCGCCCAACACCCTCACTGTGGCATCATCCCAGAAGACTGGCTGGCAGGAAAGGAACCTTCTCTAAAGGTCTGAGCTTAAGGTTTCCTATAAAGCCAGTGGCATGGCACTAAGAGTAAGAATTAAATCAGAAATTAAAGTTCTAGTTCTTGTATACAAGAATGAAGGACTAGGACTGACAACCTCTCTAGCATGTATCACAGTATGCTCTGACTTCCTTATTTGATCAGGCATTTGCAACCTCGACTAAGAATGGCAGGTCTGAGTCTTGTCCAGCCCTGAATTGCCACTGCCACCCTTACTTGTAGAGGCTACAGTCTATACAAGCTCAGATCACTGTGTGCCAAATCTAGGCTTCATCCAGGTGGAGGCAGCTTCCACCTCTCGCTGGTGTCAGAATCAGAGGCGGGAGCCCAGGTGAAGCTGGCAAAGTGGGCAGTTAACTGTGGGCTAGGGTCCAACATGGATTGCTGCCTGTCTCCTTCCAGGCTAGGAGCTCTGTGCAGGCAGGCACTTTCTATTCTTCCTCAACACTACAGCCCAGGTACCTCACTCAGAGCTGCCCCATAGCAGATGCTTAATAAATATTGGTTGAATGAATGAGTGAGTAACTGAGTGGCAGACAGTCTCCCGGCCATTACCTAGGGACTCCACCCCAGTCCCAGCTCACCTGGTACCAAGAATAGGCCCGGTCTGCTGGGTTGATGAGGATGGTCAAGATCTTGGCCTTGGGCAATAGGGCAGCTGCCCGACGGGGCGCCACTTCTGAATCAAAGTAGTTGGCGCTTTTTTCAAAGTAGAAATCAGAGGTGGTGTTGGAGGGGATAGGGAAGAACTCCATGTACCTGCAGGAAGCCCAAAGAGGGGGTTCACAAGCAAGACTCATGAGAAAGAAATACAGCATGAGAGGTTGGGCTGGGGTAGAACTTCCTCAGAAAATAAGTGGGAAATATCCCTCCCATCCAACCAAGGAATTCTAGTAGGGTTTCCTTCAGAACAATGGCCATTTGGCGGTCTTCCTTTTCCAAATTCATTCCTTTTCAGGGGAGATTTTGGGGTCAGAAGGAATGAATCTTAAGACATATGGGTGTGATACAGCTTTCAGGGCAGGAGTAAGGAATTATGTCATTCAATCCTAAACTCTGGGATCCTACCATCCCATCCTTGCTGAGTGCCATGCCCCCACCCTTACACTGACAGAGCCCTAACTCTCTCTGCCTCTAGGGGGCGAGCTGGGACACAAAGAGGCTCCACCTCTGACCCGAGGAAGGGCACACTCAAAGGGAGGGGCAGTCCTCATCTGCCTGCCTCCAGAGAGCAGGGTCCCAGCCCTGACTTGGGATGGTACTTTCTGGGCTGTCACTGTGGGCTAGGAGAGAAAGAAAAAGGTGGTGTCATCTTCTGCCACCCAGTCCCCACTCCATGGCCTGCTGTGGGTGAGCTGGATAGTCTCCCAGACAACACTCCTCATCCTACCCAGGGTGACTGTCCACATCAGTCCTCTGAGACCATCTCTGGGTTGAGGATCTTCTGGGTTAAAGATCGCTCTGCAAACTAAAAGAACACTTCAGACCTTCCCAGGGACACTTATTCACACAGAATTGGGCACAACTCCAGGGGCTCATGAGAACCAACATCCCACCCTAGCTGAGGGAACTACAGGATCCCTACTCTACCTTATGGTCCCAAGGACTCCCTTTATCAGAATCATCTGGAGGCTGGTTACATTCCTGTGCTCCACACCAGTCCCAGCCATAAAATCAAAATCTCTGGAACAGCACCTAGCAATCTCGCTCTCTCTCTCATTTTTCTGAATATTCTTTAAAAAATAGCCTTTGGGCTGGCATCTTAAAACCTTGCAAGCAGCCATCTCGATGCAACAATGGGTCTCTCCTCGTCCAGAGCAAAGAAGAATGAAGAAAACCAACGATTCATGGAAATAATTAGTCCTTGAGACTGGTACACCATGCGATCCTCAGCCTACAGGACTATGAGACCAGAAGAACTAGATGGTGCCCAGCTACCACTGTCAACCACTCAGAGAGGGAACTATGTAGGAGACCTTGGATAGAGAGGGAGAACAATGTGAAACAAAACTCAAAATCATTTTGAAAAAAAAAAAAAAGGAGGATCAGGTTTGCTGGTCTGATAGAGCCTGATGGAACCACTGAGACTATGGCCCCTAGCTGCCCTTCAGGTCTGGGATTGAACCCACACCTGTGGCTTCCAGCCAAACAAAAGACAGGCATATGAGTTGAACATGTACCTGAGGTAAACACACTCCATGGAGAGAATAATCATGGGAGAAAGAGAGGGTGTTTACGCACAGGGAGACAGCTCAGGGGGCAGGACTGCATGGAGGGATGGACACAGGGAAGAGGTAACTATTAGGGGGAAGTAGGAGGGGAGCTGTTGCATTGGAGTAAATTGTAGTCAATGTCATGAGACAACATGTGTGTGAACTGCTGTATAGAAAGTGAATTTGCTGTTAACTTTCACCCAAATCACAAAAAAAAATTAAAAAAAAAAAAAGCCTTTGTATGTCCATAATTCTTCATCTTTTAATACCTAAATCAATAAACGTCTGAAAACAAAAAAATTTTTCCCTTAGTAGCAAAGTCAGCTGGCAGCAAAACCTGACCTATTTGTCTCACTCAATGTAACCATTCATGTGTTTTGCTACATGTTAATGTATTTGTCAGTGGGGTGCTGCCCCAGGCCCTGCTGAAGGTATTGCTAAATATGGTACTATATCTTACCACTTTTCCAAAATCCAAAAAATTCTGACTTCCAATAACAAAGCTGGAGAAAATGGGTTTTAGAGTATAGATTGTGGACATGTTAGGGAGATAGATGATAGATAAGTATTAGGTAAGATACAGAGAATATAAAGACAAGGAAAATAACACACAGAGAAATACCCCCCAAAAAACAAACAGAAGGCCCATAATCTCTCCACCAAGATAACCCACTAACATAAAAATAATAATAGGAATACATGTATAAGGTAAAAAAGGTCATATAGTACAGGAAGATACAAATTAGAAAAATAGAGAGCAAAACCATCCCTGAGCTGGTCTCCCACACCTTAAAGTAACTTCTGCTGACAGGGTCTGATGAGAAGTAGCAATTTTAACAACCTCCCCAGGCAATTCTTTGAAGGCTAGGCAGCCATCCCACAAGAACACCACCTGCCCTATAATTAACCTAACACAGTGGAAAGGGCAAACTCTTGGTCAGGACATTTGAATTTTAGCCCCTGCTCTGTTCCCAGCTCTCAGGCCCTTGGCCAAGTCCCTCTCCTCCTCTGGGACTCAGGATGTTCCTGTGCAACCAAGGGAGGGGCTGGACTCTGACTTCCAGTAGTCTCTGACCCCAGGCGACAATGCAAAGGGGCAAAGGGCTTCCTAATCAAGTGTCCTGTCTGTGACAGGGCTCCAACACCACAACCCAAGGGTCACTGCACTTTGTCCCTGTTTACAGGAACTTCAGCTGTGTGTAAGCCAAGAGCCAGCTGCTTCCTGCTGTGGCCACTGCTGACCTTCTCCTGGGCAGGCCCACGATGGCCTTCCTGCCCTGTTATAGACAGAAAGGCCCACTCACCAGTCGATGCCTTTGTGATAGTTATGGCCATTAAAAAACTGGATCTCCTCAAAGGTCTCAGAGCTGGGATAGTTGCTGCTCAGGTCCGGATGCATGCCCAGGAACAGGTAGAGGGCTGTGGTGCCTGCGGGAGGGGAAGGCAGCTAAGACCCATGGCCCATCCCCCAAGAAGAAGAGGAAGAGAGGAGGCAACATATGGAGGGAATCCGAAGTCCTGAGTTCTAGTCTTAGCTCTCTATTGCCCCCAGGGGAGACCCTGAGTAAGTCCCTTCCTCTCTGGGGCTTAGTGTCCTCATTTGTACAATAAAGAAATTCTATTAAACCCAGCATGGCAAATATATGGCATGCATGTGGCTACCCCAACGCTTACACCCTCTGTAGACATCACTAATCCATCACAGGATTCATCATCACTAAACAAAGCTTGGCCTCCGAAGCCTCACTCCATGGTCATATGCAATTAAATACTGTCTCCTCCCAATCCCAGAACTAGACGATTTCTATTGGTCCCTTTCAGCCTCTGACCTCTCTGGCAGTTAGAAGAAGGCTGGAGAAAGAAGAACTCCAGATCCTACAGTTCTGTTAACATGAAATTCTTGAAGGGTCAGGAAATCTAGCTCAGCTGTCCTCTCCTCTGGGTGTCTTGCCTTCATTCATGCTTCCTCCTCAAACACGGTCCTAGGGAGTTCATTCGTTCCCTGTGGTGTGAGTCTACACTTTATTTGTTATATAAACCATACATTTAAGTTATCCCAGAAGAGAAAGAAACTGTAGTTTGGGGATTAACAGTATATAAGCTTTGGGGTCTAAGATACCAGAGTTCAAGACCCGAGCTGCCATTTCCTAATTGAATGTGTTTGAAGAAGTCACTTAACTGCTCCAAGACTTGAGTTCCTTGTCTATAAAAACAGGACTACCCATTCATGCCTTATAGGGTTGTGTGGATGGCAGATATTCAGCAATTATGTCATTATTCTGCTTTTCTGCGCTTCTCACAGACATGACTAATTGATCACAGTCTCTTGGCATGGAACTAGTTTTGCCTGGCACTGCAAAAGACTTGCAGAGTAACTTGATTTGGACTTCTCTGCCTAGATGCAGAGACTGCCAGAAGGGCACAGGGACAGCTCCCTGCGTCTGCGGCTCAGGACAGACAGAAGTCTGTGCCCACTCTCATCCCAGCCTCTACCCTCTTCCCATCTATATACTGATAAGCAATTCATGTTTACTCTAACTTCATACCTACTTTTTGGGGAAGAGGAAACAGATTAATGGGGATTGGGGAAACTAGGACAAGATAGTTTCCAGAATTCTGTGGCTGAAACAACAGGAAGTGGGGGAGTCTGGGTCAAGAGTAGAAAGACCTGCCTGTTTTCTGGGGGCCAATGATGAGGAGCTTGGGGAAGCGGTCACACGTCTTCTCCTTGGACCAGATGTCTTTGTGGCGCTTGTCTTCACAAGGGTCCTAAAGCAATAGTCAAAGCAGCATGGGTGGGGGGAAAAGAACCCAATGGTGGATTCCACTGCACATGGACATGTGGCTCTTATAGCCCTGATTAACAAGGATAACAGCTACATGTGTCCTTGCCACATCCCCACCTCAGGGCACTGAGCACCTTGCAGACAGGGACCATTTCTGGTTTGTCTCATGGCCCACCTCCCAGGCACTAGGAAAATGCCCAGTCCCAGACTTGGCACATAAGAGGTGTTCATGAACACTGGCTGAATTTAACTGGATCAGCTATGGCTGAGCCAAGGATCAGTTAACTTTCTCTGTAAAGTTTAGTAAACATGTTAGTAAATATCTTAGGCTTTGCGTACCATCTGGTCTCTGTTGCAACTCCTCAACTCTTCTGTTATTGTATAAATACAGCCATAGATAATACATAAAATAATAAGTATGACTGTGTTCCAATAAACCTTTATTTATAAAAACAGATCGCAGGCCAGATTTGGGCCAGGAACTATGATTTGTGGACACCTAGTCTGAACTATAGGAGCTCTAGTAGCGTAGTGTCTAAAGGCACTTGACTGCTAACCAGAAGGCTAGCGGTTCAAACCCACCAGCCACTCCTCGGAAGGAAGATGGGGCAATCTACTTCCATAGTGATACTGCCTCAGAAACCCAAGGAGGGGTCGCTATGAGTCGCATCTGACTCGACGGCACGTAACAACAACAGTCTGAACTATGAGACTGCCACCAATTCCAGTTTCTGCTTCCAGAGGCAGGCTTCCTCAAGAACTAGCCCCAAAACCCTACATCAGTCCCTTTCCAACGGCTCAGAACCTGCTAGAGTTAGAAGAGACATCAGAGATTATCCAAGAGACTAATCAAGGCAGGGCAATCATCTTCTCACATAACTTATACCATGCTCTTACAGTTTTTTAGGAAACTATGTATGAGTGGGCATGCACGTAGGACTGTATGTGGAGGTATGCCCTTACACCTGTGTATATATGTAAGCATTGCAGCAAGGGAATATACTCACACTGGTGAGCAAGTGTGCACTTGAGTTACATTTGAGACCAAGTGTGAGGGCATAAAGGTCTCAAGCCCTAGAGCCCATATCTGGAATATGTGCCTGTGAGCAGGTAGACATTCCATTCCTCCACCACGGCACAAAGCCTACCCTGCCCTGCTATCTCCCTACCTACCTGCCAGAGCGGGTCCTTCTCCTCAGAGAAGATCTGGAAGTACTTCTGGGCCAGTTGCACAGGAGGCAGCGTCTGCAGCCGGAGGTTGGTCCAGGAGTGTAGGAAGCGCACCAGGTGCCTGAAGGTGTACAGGCCCAGGCGGTCATTCCCATAGTTGGACAGGTGTGTCATGAAGATGCTGATCTGTTCCAGGGGAGGGGAAGGGGAAGGCAGGAGGCCAGTTAGTATCTGGAGCCACCTTTGCCCTCACATCTCACCGTTCTGGCCCTGCCTCAGCTTGCAGGCCCACCTGATGACCAGTCCAAGGTGTACCGGAACTGTCACCAAACTATGTGACCCCTGGCTAGGCATAGCCTGGTATGAATCCACCAAATATCACATCCTAGAAATGGGAAGCTGACCTAACGTGGGAGTTATTTGTGTTTTGTTTTGTATTTTTTTTGGAGGGTGGGGAGCACGGATGAGAAGAAGCCTGTACTCGTTATCCCACAAAGCTGAGGAACAACACACATCTGATATTTATTTAATATTATTCAAGCATGGATCTGCTGCAAAAGACCTCTTTAAAGTGCTGACGAGCAAACATGTCTCTTTTAAGACTAAGACGTACCTACCTCAGGCCACAGTTTTTTCAATTGCCTCATATGCATGTAAAATCTGGACAATTATAAGGAAGACTGAAGAAGAGTTGATGCTTTTGAGTTGTGGTGTTGGCAAAGAATACTGAAAGTACCATGGATTGCCAGAAGAATGAACAAATCTCTCCTGGAAGAAGTGCAGCCAGAATGCTCCTTGGAAACGAGAATGGCCAGACTTTGTCTGACCTACTTTGGTCATGTTGTCAGAAGGGACCATTCCCTGGAGAAGGACATCATGCTTGGTAAAGTGGAGGATTAGCAAAAAAAGGGGAAGACCCTCAACGAGATGGATTAACACAGTGGCTACCAACAACGGGCTCAGGTATAGCAAGGATTGTGAGGCTGGCACAAGACCGAGCAGTGTTTCATTCTGTTGTACACAGGGTCACTATAAGGTGGAGCCAATTCAATAATACCAAACAACAACAAATCAAGCATGGATGACATGTTATTTCTGTTTTATAGATAAGGAATGAGACCCAGGAAGCTCAAGTGACTAGTAATATATATGCAAGCTTAGGAGCTCTGGTAGCATAGTGCCTAAGGCACTTGACTGCTAACCAGAAGGCTGGCAGTTCAAACCCACCACCACTCCTCGGAAGGAAGGCTGGGCAATCTACATCCGTAGTGATACTGCCTTGGCAATCCAAGGAGGGGTCGCTATGAGTCGGGGTTGACTCGATGGCACATAACAACAACAACAACATGAGCAAATACTGCAAAGAGAACATGGGCAAAAACGTTAATGCTATTATATTAAAGTACAAGACTGTGAAAGAAAAGAAAGCTCAGGGGTCTCCACCAAGGCCACTCAGCAGAGGATGGACAGAGCCAGGACTGGGAGGTGGGTCTCCCAATCCTCAGCCCCTTACTCCCACATCTCCCTTTTCCCCAAGTCCAGGCAGGGCTGCCTGAGCTACAGACAGGTGGTGTGGCACCCCCATCTCACACCAGCCACGGGCTGTAGAGCACTCACAGGATTGAGGAGCACAGTGAGGAAGAGCTCGCCCCCATTGATGATCTTGTCCAGTTCACTGGAGCCACCAGGGTACTCATTGTAGAAGATAGTGTGTGTGAAGAGGCCACAGGTCTGCCGTGGGAGGACCTGGGGAAGGGATAGAGGAGAGGACCTCTGTTGTCTCCAGGGCCAGACCATGCTGGGAAGACCCTTGCTTAGGAGAAAGGCTAGGCTGCCTCCTCAGAAAGCCAGCCTCCCAAGGATGTGTCCTGTTGTCATCACCTCTCCTCTCACAGCCCTGACCTTTGGAGTTCCTCTCCCCGAAAGACCCTCTGAAGCCTGCAAATCCCCTCCCCCGTGAGCCCACAGGCCTTTGTCATTTTATATACTTCACTGCTGTCCTCTGCACAAGATGAACAAACCCAAGAGTAAGAGACAAGGAAGTGAGAATGTTTCTGGGAACTCAATCCATTTGCCCAGCAAGGGTCCCTGACCCCCTCTAAAGCAGCTTTCCCAGTCATGCTCTGTGATACTCCTGGTGGTCCCAGAATTTCTCCTAGTAGCACTCTTGGCCATGCACTGGCTTATCTGCTTCTTATCTGTCTCCCCTCACAAAACTGAGGGCTGCAAGATAGCAAGGAACTCTGTCTTGTTGCTGCCTCATCCTCAGAATTTACAGGAGTGCCTAGTACTGAAGAGGTTCACATACAGTTGGTGAATTAAAGAACCAATAAATTAAAGAACCAATAAACCCCCACAGCTGCCTCATCTGGGCTGATGACAACTCATCCTTCCACTGGCTCAGGCTAAAAAACCTTGGACCCATGCTTAACCCCCTTCTTTCTTGCAAACCCTACATCCATCTGATCAGCAGATCATGTTGGCTCTACCTTCAAAATAAGTCCAGAATCTCATTACATCTCCATATCACATCCTGACCCAAGGCACTACCATCTCCTCTAAACAACTGTTGTTGTTATGTGCCGTCAAGTCAAACCCGACTCATAGCAACTCCTCCTTGGGTTTCCGAGGCAGTATCACTACGGAAGTAGGATTGCCTAACCTTCCTTCCAAGGAGTGGCTGGTGGGTTTGAACCGCCAGCCGTCTGGTTAGCAGGCAAGTGTCTTAGCCAGTATGTTACCAGAGCAGTGGCCTCTTAACTGGTCTCCCTAGTTCCACTGTCACCTCCTATGACCTCTGTTCCATAGAACAGGCAGAATGATGGAGATTCTTTTACAACTGAATCAGATCAGGACATTCAAAACCTTCCTATCTCAGACTAAAAGCTAAAGTCCATCCATGGCCCAACACGGCCCTACACAGTCCATCCAGCCCATCACCCCTCTGACCTCAGCTCTCATCATGCTCCTCTCTTACAGCCTCAGTGGCCTCCTAGTTGTTCTCAAATACACTTAGCAAAACCCTGCCTCAGGACCTTTGCCCTTGTCATCCTCTCTGCCTTGAATGCTCTTCCCTCACAGAGCAGCCAGGAAGGCCCTCCCTACTACCTTATTTTAAATAGATTCTCCTCTACCACCAGCACTCCCTACACTTCACCTTCCTGCTTGATTTTTCTCCAAAGTACTTATTGCCATGTGACCATCTGACTTCACATATTCATGAGCACAACTATCTGCCTCCTGCCCTAGAATGTTAGGTCTATAAGCACAGGGATTTTTGTCAGTTTTATTCATGTCTGTGTCCCCAGCACCTACAACAGGGACATATACATAATAGAAGTTCAAGGTAAGTTACTGAATAAGCAAACCAATGAATGACCCAGAGGCCTGTCCCAAGTCCCCAGCAGAGACACCTGGGCCAGTGTTAAAGAATGCTAATCTGCTGATCCTGGTTTATCACAAAAGCAAACAGGAACTCACGAAAGGAGGCAGACTGGCAGCCCATCTTCCCTGAATGGACAGCCTCAGGCCAAGCTGCCCAGGACAGCGTATGCACCCAGGCCAGGATAGGCAGGCCCACATTTCCCCGCCTCCCAGCTACCAGGGCTCACTCACCATGATGCCATTGTGGATGAAGCCTCGGCGATAGCGGGCTGGCTTCAGGTGGGGGTACTCCTCCGTGCTGGTCACACGGATGTTCCACACCTGCTTCCAGGCTTCATAGAGCTGCACGTGCACAGGGTACACGCCCGAGTGGTGGGGTGCCACGGCATACCCCATGTCTGTGGGAATGCCGTGCTCCTGTGGGGAGGAGGGGCAAGGCAGGGTGAGCATGGGACTCCTTCCCCTCTGGGCCTTAGTTTCCACTTTGGAGAATGGGAGAGAGAAACCAGAGGCTAGGACATCAGGGCAAGCCCTCCTGGTACAGGTGGGGAAGGGCTATGCCCAGAGTCCAGAATGACTGGCAGAGCAGGACTAGAACCCAGGACTCCTGATTTTCAGTCCAATGTTCACACCTTCCTCTAGCACAGAGGTCTCAAGCACCTTGTGAGGGACAAGGATGGGGCTTTTCCTGCCTTGTCTTGGCTCTGGTTGGCTGGTGGACCCAGGTTTAGCCTAGGACCCAGCCTTATTCCCTCCTTACTGAGTACCTCCTCAGCTTCTAGAAGCCTCCTACCTTAGCCTAAAGGTAAAAGCTTGGGCTCAGGAAATAGCCAGACCTGGGTTTAAGTCCCAGCTGGTCTTCTTCTTAGCTGATGTGGGACTCAGTTTTTTGTCTGTAAAATGCAACTATCGATACCTTGGGCTCTCTGTGAGGCTTCAATTAGACAGTGTCTATAAGGCAGCTAGTCCCAGCCCTGACACAGAGATGTGAGCAAAAAGCTGTCAGACCTACCACAAAAACAGCCAGAGGCTAGCAGTCTGGAGCCCAGCCCAGCCCCTGGCCCTCCCAGCTCTGCCCTGTAGGGAATCTTACTCACGACAGCGAACTTCTTGTTCAGGGCCATCTGTTCAGCCAGCACAGACTGGTTGTGGAAAAGGTGGGGCTGCATGTGGCTCCACATGTGGGGAAACCACCAGAACTCCTTCACGTATGACAGTAGCAGGTCGTCCCCAGCGTCCTCAGCATCAGTACCTAAAGCCCAGCACAGGCAGCTCAGCTCAGTCCAGCCCACCCAGTCATAAAGGCCTCCAACCTGGGCCCAGGTCCAGAAGAATTCTCGGAGCTACAAACAGGAGCAGACAGGGCCCTAGTGCAGAGGCTTAGATTCCAGTCTAGAGTGGACTTAAGGTACCCCTGATCAAGTCCTTGGCTCTTCTCTGGGCCCCAAGGGCCCTATCTGTGCAATGAAGGATTTAGAGTCAATGATTTCAAAAGTTTCTTCCGTCTCTGGCTTGCCTGTTCTTATCTTCTTCCTATTTTTCTATTAGGTCATTTGTCTTTTTCTTACTGATTTGTAGAAGATCTTTATATATCATAGAATGTTTAATCTTCTATCTCATATATATCATTACAATCATCTGATATGTTAAGAGTTGAGAATACATAGCATCTCCTACATGGCTCTGGGGCTCTACTGTACAGATTTCCCCCAGAATTGTTAACTAATAGGGTTTTGCCTGGAATTCAAGAGAGGATGTCTTCACTGTGCCCTGGGTGTCAGGCAGCTAGAGGGAATGAGCACTGAGGTGACCCACTCAAGTTTGCTCCCTCTTGCCCAATCCCTGAAAGGCAACATGTAAAGAACCTAGGAGAGCCCAAAAGTAGAAGGCAGGCATGAACCAAGCAACCCACAGCCTACAACCTCGACTCTTGCAACCTTAAAATAAAGTGACAGTAGTCATCTTGGGTGGGTACAATTACAAGGCACTTTCACTTTCTATACTACATGTTTCTGCAATGTTCTTAAAATTCAAATAACTTCTTTTATAAGCAGAAAAACTACAAATAATTTTAAAAGGTAGGAGGTGCAAGGTAGTCAAGAGGGAGAAGATATCCTAAGTAGGATAGCACAACCTGAAAGCCTCAGGGAGGAATGAGTGGAAACCAATGTTGTTGTTATCTTGAAATGGCCTCTAACTAGGGCTGAGCCTGTTCTTGTGGGCTGTCAAATCTGCTCTGAGTATGGGTCTGTAAACCCACTGCTGACCCTCAGTGCATAGAGCTCTGAGGTCTGGATGTTTATGAGCCCCTGGAAACTGCTAGTAGGGACAGGGCCAGACCCACTTACCGGTGTGGAAGAATTTCCCTGAGTAGCCCAGGTTGAAGGTGAAGTTTGGGATGTGTGTGCGTAGTTCATTTTGCGTGTCAAATAGGGCCTAGAGGAAAGAAAAGGAGACAATGGTGAGGGGAACCCAAGAGCTCCCTGCAATGCCCACTAAGGGTCCTGCTGCTGCACAGCTGGCTACAGAGTATGCAAGGGCCCATGCAAAATAAAAATATCTCCATTAAAAAAGTATTCAGAATTTCAAGATGGTGATAGCAGCCCATTGAACTATGTGTGGGTCCTTTGTGACTACATAGGTCACATACTACAAAGCCAGCCTGAGCTGTCATCTCCACCAGATCTCTGGCAGGAAAAGAGCAAGATCCAGCCAGTCTCTGTTACATGTCCTTGAGAAGGCATCATCATTTCTCCAGGCCTCAGTTTACTTCAAGTGTAAAATGGTTAACAGGATCTCCCTCATGGGGCTCTCGGAAGAACTAAATGAGCTACCAGATAGAAAACTGCCTGACATATGGTAAGTAATAAAAAATGGCAACCACTGTAGTGTCTGGGGTCACTGCCACTGTGTGCCTCAGTGTGCTCATCTGTCAAATATGGAGGATGTCCCCTCCTTGTAAGGCTGATGCCCAAGGATCATAACTTTTCCCAAGATACCCTGGGTACTAAGCCACGCAAGGTCCCAATGCACAGTACACCCAGTGTTTTGCAAGTCAATGAAGGGATGTTGACGTTTCTAAGACAAATGTTCAGTTATACTCTGGGTTTAGGATTTAAAAAAAAAAAAAAAATCCTTTTCTCAATGACTCACAATGCTGCTAAGAAACCTGCAAGAGCCAGATTTCAGTAGGTTTTGCAAACTAAAAGTCTTGGCCCGCCAGGGCAACACTGTCACCACTGGCATCCTACCAAGGCTGTGCACTGCCTGGGGGACAGGCATGCTCCAGCTGTGTGGCCCTGGGCAGATTACTTCACCTCTCTGAGCCTCAGTGACCTCCTCTGTGAAATGGGGATGATACTGATCCTCTCCCCTCGGGCTGCTGTGATGAGCACCTAGAATGACATAGATGGGCTGAGCACAGAGCCTGACACTCCCTGAGTCCTGAAGAAGTAGCTGCTCTTAGCATTATTTAAATTGTGCTGTACAGCCAGTCCTGTACAAGTTAAGGATATAACATTCGTATCTCTAAAAGAAAAGCTCAGTTGTATGTAGCTGTGCTTGAGATTAAAGGGAAAAGAGCTCTGCCTTTCTGACTCACAAGGATGCTGAAGGCAAATGAAAGCAGGGCTGGGGGAGCCCAGTGCAGCCAGCACAGTGCTAAGCACTGGAAGGGGGGCCCCTCTGTTATTATATGTCCACAGAAATGGCTCCAGACTGCTATTACCTTAAAAACAGGTAAAGTAAGAAACCAAGAAGGGCAACCTTGGGGCTCTGGGAACACACAGTGAGCCTGGCAGCCTCATCAGGACTTGTCCCCAGTCTGGTGGTCGAGGACCTGTGTCCCAGCAGAACAGAACAAGGCTGGGCCACTGGAAGAAAGTACATGTAAGTAGAAAACAGCAATCCCCTCAATAATAGATGGTGGCACTGCATGAAGCCTTAGAGCTGGAAGGCTCAGCAGGATCATCTTAAAACTTCTGCAGGGGAGGTCTTTTCTTCAAATGAAATCTCAAGAGGAAACACACACACCAAACATAGTATAAAGCAACACTGCCCTGCTGGATGAGCTGGGGAGCCAGGAGGGCTCCAAGCTTGGCCTAGCTGCTTGTCCCTCCTCACTCCCCACCCCAGCCAGGCAGCCACTGTTGGGAACCCCTGGGGTGCCAAGAAACAGCTGGCGAATCTCTCATTACCCCATCTTGTCATTTTATAGCTGAGCCTCGGATGGGAAAGGACTTGTCCGAGAGTCCCCAGTCAACAAGGGTCAAACTGGGAATAGAAACCAGGTCTTGACACCCCATAGAGCACCAGCTTCCCAACACCACTGCCTCTGCTCCTCCTCTGGGGGCACAAGGAAGAGAAGAGCACACCTGACCATGGAGGGGCCTAACCACAGCAGAGCCATCCTTCTAGGGCCCCGGCAAACCCCCACCAACGGACAAGAGGATTCCAGGTGGACCAGGGACAGGACAATTCTGAATTACTCAGGGAGAAAGGTCATCCTTTTAGAAGCCTCTTTTTAACTCCTGCTACTAACATCAAAAAGAAGTCTAGGTTTAGTGCTAATATGTTTCTAACACTTGCTAATCTCATATAAGAGAGGACAAGCGGGCAGTACACAGCAGTCTCTCTCTGGAATTTAATCCCCTGTTTTGTCTTCACTGGATTTACTGTTATGGTTGCCCTCTATTTATGGTAACTGATCCTGATTTTCCATTTACACTACTGATGTGGTTTCCTCTGCAAATAACTTTAAGCAAAATAAGTGAGTTGTTTACAACTGTATTTTAAAGAGTGCTTAATGACCTTAATTCTTAGTTTTCTCTTTAATAGTGATCATTCACATCTGTGTGAAATATTGGTGCTTGCAAAGTGCTTTTACATACAATTTAGCTTGATAAATGCTTTTTGAACTAAACATATGCAATTCCAAATCTATATATGTCAAGTTGGCCCCTGACTCATGGACCCCATGCACAATGGGATCAGACCATTGTGATCCATGGGGTTTTCACGGATCATTTTTGGACACAGATTGCCCAGGCCTTTCTTCCTACTCTGTTTTGTCTGGAAGCTCTGCTGAAACCTGTTCAGCATCCTAGCAACACACAGCCTCCACTGGACTGAAAAACGAGTGGTGACTGTGCATGAGGTACACTGGCTGGGTATTGAACCAAGGTCTCCGGCAAGAAGGTGAGAAATCTACCACTGAACCACCACTGCCCTCATGTATGTATACCTCACTGGAAATACACCTGATGTACATTTCAAGCTCTAGTTCTTGTTTTAAGAGTTTTGTAAAAGTTCTGGTATTGACATAAGCATTTTGAGTTATAAATGTGTTTCAGTAACTGGGTCTCTTTCTCTATGCCTCAGATGCAAAACCCTTCTATTTTCAATATAATCTTAAACGAAATTTTCTATTAATAAGATAATTAATTAAAATACGACTAGCCTAGGGAAAGGAGCTCTGGTAGCACAGTGCCTACGGCACTTGACTGCTAACCCAGAAGGCTGGCGTTTCAAACCTACCAGCCATTCCTCAGAAGGAAGGTTGGGCAATCTGCTTTCGCAGCAATACGCCTCGGAAACCCAAGGAGGGGTTGCTATGAGTTGGGTCTGACTCTATGGCACATAACAACAATAGCCTAGGGAGGGAGCCATACATTAGGTAACTGACAGCGTAGACTAATGGAAATAAGGCAAAAGTCACAATGAGGTGTATGAAGGTGTCACGTCTAGAAGACCCTGCCTTACCCATGTGGTACTCAGGCCATACCTTCACATCCTCCACCTTCATTCGTGTGCCCTCCTTGCCCACAAAGATATCATCGATGTCCACTAAGATGTAGCGGTCAAGCGGCAGTGAGAGGCGTTTGCCCGTGAGGAAGGCCACAGCATCAACGAAGACCAGCTTGTGCAGCCAGAAGTTGAGATTGTTTCCGAACAGCACGCGCTGGATGCCATCATGGAGGCCCAGGTCCTGGACCACAGTGGCGTGCAGTGCGGCATGTAGGCCAGCATCCGCACCCAGGTGTGGAATGGACTCAGATGAACGTGTCTTGGCCAGCAGCACTGGCTCATATGTGGAGTGGTTTGACTGGAACACAGTCCAGTCCTCGCCAGGCAGCACCCCCTTCTCCACCTCACTAGGCCGCGTCACGTAGAGCAGTGGGGACTTGGGGTTGATGCTGCAGTCTTTTAGGCCCAGGTTCGAATGCAGGAACAGTGGGAAGCCTTTGAGCTGTGCACTCAGCAGGCTATTCTCATTGGCCTGCAACAGGATGGGGAAGGGGGACAGAGCTGTCAGATCTAGAGCCCCAAGGGATCATGGGGTTTTAGATGTGGACCAATAATAGTAACATCAGCAATATTCACTAACATTCCTAGAGCGGTCACCATATTACTGGCCTGTGCTAACCTGCCAAGCAAACTCACCTCTACCTCCTTACAAGAATATACTAACAAGTATGATGCACTTACCTAAAAGCAAGGCACCAGGTTCTATGAACTTTGCACACAGAAATGCGGTTAGTACTCACAGTGGCCCCACAATGGAGGCATCCATCACTGTCATCCCCATTTCCCAGATGAGACAGGCTCAGAGCAGCTAGGTAACTTGCCCAAGATGACTGCAAGAAAATCTAGCAGGTGAGAACACAGACTGTGCCATGAGACTGCCTGGCCCTGGACAAGTTACAGAACCATTCTGGGCCTCAGCTTCCTCTGCTTTAAAATGAGCCCAAGAGTAAATGGAAGAATGATCTGTGCTGATGCTGGCAAAGTGCTGGGAACGGGATCTGCAGCATTAAATCGCTCATTCAGTCCTCACATCAGCCTCAGGAGGCAGGTTCCTCAGTTACCACACTTCACAAGTGAGGAAACTGAGGCTGTGCCAGAAGTACTGCCCTCAGTGATCAGTGCATAGCCAGGTGGTCTGGCCCTGGAGCCCGTTGAACCTAACCACTAGCTCTACTGCCTGGGGCTTGCAAACTGACTTTTGGTGCAGCACAACCCTTTCTTCAGGAGAAACCTCACACAGACACCAATGGAGAAGAGATAGAGAGGAGGAATCCACTAGGGGAAGCAAAGATATGCCTATAGCCATTCCAGCCCCCAATAAACCCTTAGCTCCCCCTGAGGCATTTAAAAACCAGAGGCCAACCCCTGCCAGGAGTCCAACCTCCCCATTCCTACACTGTCACTGCCTGTGGTAGTGAGCTCTCTGCTTCTCTTCTCCCCACAGGGCCTTCTGCTGCCCAGCTCCCCAGAGACCTGCAGACAGTGCCCACAGCACCCTCTTCTTCTCCTTCCAAGATTCATTATCCTGGCTCCTTCACATTCTTCCTATGGACCTGAGTGTCAGACCCCCTCATCTGCCCAGGTAATTGCTTTGGGATATGTTCAACTTATCCTTTCCTTGTGCCAGCTGCATTCTGTCTTGCTGGCCTGGCAAACTCCTGCTCATCCTTCAAAACCCAAAACATATCCCCTCTTCTCTGCACTGGCCTCCCTGAGACCATGTCTAACCCTCAGTTGTAGCACTTCTCTCAGCTGCTGCATGATCCGTTCAGGGTCTCTCTCCCATCACCTGTGCCACCTCAAGAGCAGGAGCTATGTTGTTCATACCTTTGGATCCTAACACACACTGGGAATAAACATGTTTGATAAATAACTGGATTTTCAAAAATAATGAAAGAGAAGCAGACAGCTCCCCAGTATCTGACACATGTGTTTAATCCTAGATTCATTTGTTCATTTCACAACTGTTCACTGTGCCAGGCACTGTGTTAAATGCCAAGGATATAGTAAAAATGAACAGACCTGGCCCCTTGCCTCACAGACTTAAAGTCAAACAAGGAAGAGAGATATTATTCAAATAACTACAGGAATACACATAAAACTACAATCTGACACATGCTATGCAGAGAAGGGTCATAGTTCTAGAAGAATAGATAACCAGGGCACAGTCTGCTGGCTCAGGGAAGGCTTCCTAGAGAAGGGGACTTCTGAGGTAAGATTTAAAGAATGAGTGTCAGCTAGGCAAGAGGTTAGGGGGCCACATTCAAAGAGCAGTGAGTGCAAAAGTCCTGAAGTAGGAAAGGGCTCATTATGGTCAAGGAGCACCAAAAGGCCAGTGGGGCTGCAGCACAGTGTTCAGGAGGGTGAGTGGAGAAGATGAGGTAGAGAGCCGACTGGGGCCAGACCTACAGGACCCTGAGGGCTGAAGAAGAGTATAGATTTGGTTCTAAATGAAGTAGGAAGCCATCAAAGGCTCCATCAAAGGGTTTTGAACAGAGAGGCATGACTGATTCCAATTAGCATTTTTAAAAGCTCCATCTGGTTGCCTTGTGGTGAATGAGTAGAGTGGGGCAAACAAGAGTGGTCAAAGGACACCAAATAAGGCTGGAGGGGAAGGCAGGGTCTTATACAGGGCCACCATGGAGAAATGGTCAGGTGGGCATGTACAAGGGCCCCCAACTGATGGGGCAAGTAAGGGCTGACATTTTGGCCAAGCCTAGTGCCCCCATGCAGAGCTGTGTCTGTCCAGAGGGTGCCTTTTACTAATCTCCTTCATGCAGAAGTTCTTCTTGCTAATTCCCACAAAGGCTCTCTAGGGCCCTGGCCTTGTAAACCACAATTGGGAGTCTAGATTTGATTCCAAACACCAGGCAGGCCTACTAACTTGCCACCTTGTCCCAAGCCACCCTTGAGTGTTGAGACCCAATGCAGAGTGTCATTCTAAGAAGCCATTCCCCCAGCCCCAGAATGCCCACCACTCTTAAGCCAGCAGTGGTCAAGGATGGGAGTTGCTTGGGCTGTAAGAGCAAAGGTTCCCGGGGCCACTGACATTTCAGGCCCTGTACATCACTTGCTGTGGCCTGGGAGGCCACACTGGACTGCAGGTGCAGGGGCATCCCATTTCAAAGCCCTGACCCTGAGCTGACCGCCAGGTGCTGGCAGTTCAGCCAGCTGCTAGCTGGGAGCCATCATAGAAGAGAGAAAGCCAAGTTGCTGATCACCCACCCCAGCTAGTAATGAAATAAGCCAGCAGGGAGAGGGAATGGACAGCAAGCCTCAGCTTCACAGAGGCTGAACCCATTGCAGGCCTCATTACATTGAGAAAAAAAAAAAAAAACCTCCTGCAATCAAGTTGATTCTGACTCACGGGGACACCATGTGTTAAAGGGTAGAAATGCTCCATAGGGTTTTCTGGGCTATACTCTTTAAGAAACAGATCACCAACCCTTTCTTCTGCACCATCACTGGGTGGATTTCAACTGCCAACTTTTAGGTTAGTAACCCAGAGCAAACCATTTAAGCCATCGGGGTGGCCTCACTCCATGGGAGTGGGTATCTCTACTGTTCCTCAGTCCTCAGGAACTACTCTGGAGAAACCATGACGGTAAATGCTCTACCTCATCCAACCATTACTACCTGTCCTGGGCTAGGCCCTTTCTCAGGAACTGGAGTTACAAATGAGTAAGACCTGTTCCCCACCCCCAAGGACCTCACAGGGGCACACAATAGTCAGAGCCAATAAGACAAAGTGCTATCATTGGCTGCATTTGCTGAACTTGAAGATGACAAACTACGCTAACTGTCTTTATTGAGTGGCTCCAGGTACCAGGCCCAGTACCAGGCTTGGCGCCTTCCATCGGATGTTTTATCTTCAACACAGCGCAATGAGGCAAGTGCTGGGAATGACCCACTTCACAGATGGGGCTGAGTGCCCTGCCCAAGGTCACACTACTTAAGAGAGACAGAATTTGAACCAAGGTTTGGACTTTTAAGCCTATGCTGTCATACTTCCCTGGGAATCCAGCTCCAGGGGAAACTGGAAAATGAGACTCACCAGATCCCTGGAGCCAACAAACCCACCGCTATGGCAAGCCCATTACACAGGTTGGAACGAGGCCTTGCAGAAAGAGCTGAAAGATATAGTAATGACCACCAGAGGGTGCTCATTTAAACAGAAAAATCACAGGCTCAAAACCAATGAGGGGTCTTGTCTTACACAAAGGTATGAAGTATGAAGACCTGGAATTGCGATGGACCTGACACTTAAGACTTGACTGAGTTCACCTTCTGCAGGCAAATAACTGGGGCTAGATGGAGTCCAAGTGCAGTCATACCAAGTGCGCCTGTGAGCTCAGCCTACTGCCTGGGCCCCAGAAACTGGGAATTCTGCACACAAGATGTGGCTTCTGATGCACTATCTACTAGTCAATGGTATTTGAGCTCCTGGACACAGTGCAGAGTGGTCTCTGGAGCCAGAATGCCTAGGTTCAAATCCTAGATCTAATCTTACTAGATGTGTAACTGTGAGCACATTTCTTAACCTCTCTTTGCCTCCATTTCCTTCTCCCTTCAATCAGGATAACACCCATATGTCTTGCAGGATGAGTGTTATGACTGTTAAATGGGTTAATTCTCATAAAGCATGGAGGAGAGGGCATGGCACTGAGCGAGCAATCAGTAAATGTCAGCCATTGTGATATTTCTCAGACCTAGGGCTCTGGCGTACTGAAGTTCACGGCAGGAAAGGGTACAGAGTCCAGGAGAAAAGGAAAAACACTCTGACTTTACGCCACTGTAAAGCCATAAACCAGGCAAGCACTTCCCCAAGGGTGTGCTGTGAAACAGAATGCTTGGTGAGCCAGCCCGGTGGGGAACAAAGCTACCCAGGTGACTCTACGGCAGGACTCCTCTCAGGCCTCAGCTTTCTTGGCCCACAGAACCTCTCTTAGTTGCAGAGTATCCTGCTGGGTGTGTGCACGAAAGAATACAACACAGGACACCCTCAATGAGATCAGCCTCCATAGCACTGAGCTGAGGCCGAGTGCACAGGTGGCCCAAGGAAGGCTGGGAACAAATGAACACCCCTAAGTGAACATCATGGAGCCCTGGTTGGTGGCTCAACAGTTAAGTGCTTGGCTGCAAACACAAAGGTTAGAGTTTCTAACCCACCTAGCAGCTCTGTGGGAAAAAGACCCGCTTCCATAAAGAGTACAGCAGTTCTATTCTGCAACATGGGGTTGCCATGAGTCAGAAACAACTCGTGGCACCTAACAACAGGCGAACATCAGCCACTCTGACCCACCTCCTACTTCTCCCAGCTCACACCAAGGAGAGTCTGCTCCAGGGCCTGGGCACTCCCTGTACCTTCTGTGTGGGAGCCTTTTCACCCACAGAACTACATGGCTCGTTCCTTCACTCTCCTTGGGTCACTTTATCAAAGAGGAAAAAACGGCATCAACTCCTACACCCACCACCCTCTATGCCCCACGCCTGCTTTTGTTTTGCACACTTATCACCATCTGCTACATCATACATGAAATGTTAATTCCATGAAACTCTGTCCACCTTGATCACCCCTCTGATCCCCAGTACCTAACACAGGACCTGAAACATATTAAGCACTTCTGAAATACTCATTGAAGGAAAGAACAGATGCCCCCAAAAGCACACTTCAAGTCCCAACTAGTACTTGTTTTTGTCTGCCAGGTCAGAGTTCTCTGACCTAAGCCTCCCCTCCCAAAGACAGATTCTTTATAACACCTTTTCAGCAAGGATCTCAGCCCCTCCGACTGCTCCTGGTGCCCCACAGAGTCCAGTGAAGCCTGTCACCTGCCCACTGGGCTTTCTTTCTCCTCTTTATCCCACTACAAAATGGCTCTGGTCTGAGAGGTACATAAACTCCACACCTCATCACAGCTAAGAAGGAACATGGGCTACAAAGCCTAACCTAGGTTCTTATCTCACTCCTCTACTTACAGGCTGCACAGCCTCAGATAAGTAACATAACCCCCCAAGCCTTGGTTTGTTTATCTGCAAAATGGGTATATACTCTCTCCTGTAGGAGACTGCATGACAGGTTTAGAGGCATCAAGTGATAGATGCCCTTTCCTCCCCTGTACCATCTCCAAGGCCTGCTTTAGGCAAGTACCTGCAACTGCTGGACCCCATGACATGTGCTCCTAATAGGACCTAGTACTTACAAAGCCCTCACTGGGCACCAAGCACTATGTGATCCCTGTACTTTACCTATATTGACCCATGTAACCTGTATGGCAGGCACTAACATTACACCCATTTTACAGATGAACAAACTCAGGTATCCCTCCAGCAACTGCAGAGGTGCAGTTCTAACTGCTGAGGGGCCCTGGCCCCTGAGTACCTTGAAGAAGCCGATGATGCCCACGCCGTAGGCCACACAGTACTTGTCGAGCAGCTCCCGATTCCAGGCATCCAGGTTGACGTACTTGAGGATGTTCTCGTAGATGATGAGGGCAAAGCGGCCACGGCCCTTGTCAGTGAGCGTGGGCATATCACCCTTGCCTGGAGCAATCTCTGTGCGGTACTTGAAGCGGCTGGATTCCAGGATAGCCACCACCTCCTGGCCCAGCTGTGAGTAGAGGCTCTCCACGAACACCAGCACCAATGGATCTGTGCGGGAAGGGGTGGCTGCCTGTACAGGCTTGAGTGGCAGCAGGCGGCTGGGCGCCACTGGTGGTGGGTCCCCACAGTCAGGCTCAGGGGCATCTGCCGAGGGCTCCAGGCCTCGCTTCCAGCCATATAGGTAGTAAGCCGAGACAAAAACGCTGAACAGGCAGAAGACGAACAGCAGGAAAAGCACAGCCTGGGGGGACACGTGCCGACACAGCCTCCGGAGGCGTGCCAGGGTGGGCATCCTGGCCCCACGAACTCGGCTACCAGAGGCCTGGCCTGCCCGGGCCACCCCAAGGCCACACGCAGGAGACACGAGAGTCTACCAATTAACAAATTTACAGAGACTCAGGAAGCGAGGCCCTCAGCGGGCAGTGAGAGTGGAGGTCAGGCCCCCAGCCCTTCCTCCCAGCCAGGGGCGCAGTCCACAGGCTGGTTGCGCTCCTTCCTTCCTCTGCGCCCCTTTATGTCACCATGGCAAACCCCCGCGTGGTCCTGTGCAGAGTGGAAGTGCCCCAGGGCGTCAGGGCCTCCTGAGAGGGTTGGGCAGCCGGCTGAAGGACACTGGGCTGGCCCAGGGGTGCCGCATGCCGCTTGCTCGGTGGGGCCCACGGGGCCGAGACTGTGGGGAGAATAGGAGAGTCAGAGGCTGCAGGTGTGGACTCTGAGGTCAGCTGGCTGAGGAGGTGGAGGATCTGACCTCAAGAGGCCCAAATTCAAGTACTGCTGCCCAACCTGCTGGTGGCATGATTTGAGGCAAACTCCTTAATCTGTCCAAGCCTCAGCTTCCCCATTTGTGAGATGGGGCTGACAATAATACTCACCATAACAAGGAGTGGAGGGATTAAGTTCAATAGTGTGTAAATCATTTACAGCAGTGTCCAGCATATGGTATCTATAAATAGTAGTTGCTATTTATTATTATCATTACCAGAGTCCAAGACTAAGCCAAGAAAAATCCAAAAGCAAGAAAGACAAAATGAGACAAGCCATGAAACCTGGAGCCAGAATTCTATCACAACCAAACACCACGTTCTCATGTGCCTACAGTGCTTTCCCAACCATTCATCCCTCTGAATGGGCCCAGCAGCCCCACTGGACAGACCAGCAGACAGACAGAGGCTCAGGAGAAGCAGCCAAGGCAGCATGTAAACCCAGGGCTGTACAGCATCAGAGCCTTGGCTGTACAAGAAGGCTGTGGGTGAGTCACTGCACCTCTCAAACATTCATCATCTCATCTGTAACATTCTCACTGTTCCTGTGGAGGCCTGTGGTCAAGGGTTATCTGAATAAATCTGTCTGAAGAACTCGGCACAAGAAACACTCAAGAAAGGGAAGCTGTCAGTATTTGCACCTAATGTAACCAGGCAGCCTTCAACCTTGGGGCACAAGCCCACAGAGTATACCAACCAGCCCAGTGCAGGGGTGATCAAACCCAAGGAAGCAATGGTGAGGCAGTCCCCTCACTGGAACTCTCTATCCAGTCAGGAAGCCAGAACTGTGGATTCCTGAGGGCAGGCCACCCCCACCCATCTCATTGGAGAGAGTTAAAGAAGACCTTGCACCCACACAAGGCTCCAATTTTCTCACTCCAAAAAGCTCCCAACACCCATGGCCTCCTGGTTTCCCTTCAACATGAGCTAAAGCCACAGGGAGTGAGACTTTCAAGTAATCCAAGAAGCTGCTAAAAGCTAGGAGAGCGCCCATGACAAGAGGGTGTGAGAGCCTGGGCTGAGGAAGCCAGGGAGTGGTGATTTGGAGGTAAAGATCTGTGAAATCCCACCTGGTCCCAAGACTATACTGTGTTTAGTGTGTCAGAACCCCAACAATCATACTCCTAGGAATAATCCTAGAGGTAGCAATTGCAGAAGTGAATCAAGATTTCCCCATAAAAATATAAATCCCAGTGCTGTTTATAACAGCAAATGTCCAACCACAGGGGATTGTCTTTAGAAATGATAATGTAGTAATGATGGAATCCTAAGCAGCCATCTATATCACGTTGAAGGAGAACATTTACTGGCATAGAAATATAATTACCATATGTATTGTTAAAGTAGAAAATGTTTACAAAGCAATGTGTGACCCTAGTTTTGTCAAAAAAAAATTATTCATTGGCCAAAACTGGGTACAAAAATTTAAAAAATGTTAAGAATGATTACCTCTGAGTGATTTTTATTTTCTTCTTTTGTTTATCTCTGTTTCCTAAATTTTCTACAGTAACTATTATTTTTGTGAGAACAAGAAAACAAAGGTTTTATAAAGACGTGCTCAGAAGTGAGAGGCAGGGTACGCCATGAGGAGAGGTCTGCCCTGGGAGCTGGGACTTACGGTCTGAGTCCTAGCTCTGTGGAGACATGCTGTGTGGCCCTGAGCATACCCTGTCTCTCTCAGGGTCTCCTGCCTATTAAAAAGGTTAGGGCCAGAAGTTCACTGGGGCTGGTCCACCAAAGATATTCTACAATTCAGTGCCTACTCTGTGCCAGCACCACAATGAACCAGAGGCAGCCAAAAAAACAGATGCCTGCAATGCAGAGGGATGAGGGCAGCAGGAGGGGAGGGAAAAGATATTTGAAAGGACTGAGGTCGGTGGTTCACATCTACCAGCTGCTATACAGAAGGAAGATAAGGCAATTTATTTCCTTAAAGATCTATAGCCTTGGAGACCCAAGGGGGTCACTGTGAATTGGAGTCGACTAGATGGCAGTAGGAGGGCCAATGAACCAACTGGGTGAAGGTAGGGAGACTGGAGAAGACTTCCTGGAAGAGGTGGTACCTAAGCTGACTTGAAGAACAGGGAAGGTTGGCCAAAGGTAGGAAGAGGAAACAGTGTCTGCCATAGCTTAGAGATAAGGGAGTGCACAGAGCTTTGTGGGGACTCCCTGCAACTCCAGCTAAAAGCAGGGCAAGAAGGGGGCAGGTGCCAGAAAGGTGGGTGACTGGTCTGGTTTATGCCCAAGGTGAAACAGTGTCCCTTTTTCCACTGATAACGGCAGCCCTCTGCCCTATAGCCATGTCCAAGCCCCACCCCTTGGTACAGAGCCAGGACAGGAGCACTGTAGGTGGGGAGGAAGGGAGGTCCCTAAAGTCTCCTGCCTACCACTCCAGCCACCCACCCTTACAGAAGAGATGAGCCCAGGGAGCAGTGGCTGGTCACTTCCCTGTAGGCCTGATCACTGTGGTCTCTATGGCATTAACAGCTTTTTCAGCATGTTAATGAAGTAGCCAGCAGTCTCCTACAACCAGGGGTCATGTCATGGACCCCTGTGGGAATCTGGCAAAACTTTTCCTCAAGAAAATAAGCAGATATGCTGGGAAGTGTAACAACAACTTCAAGGGGTTCAGCTCTTGACCCCTATAGCTCCACCAAGCATGTCCATGGACTTAAAACCTAGTGGTTACCATGCATACTGCAGCCAAACAACCTGGGTTCAAATCCAAGCTCTACCACTTAGCTGTTATGTAATCTTGGCCAAATTATTTAACTTCTCTGTGACCCAACATCCCAATCCACAAAACAGGAAAATCTTACATACTTTGCAAGGTTGTGAAAATTAAATTAATTGATACAGAACCACGCAGAGCACATAAATGGTGCTGAGAAGTGTCTCCTGCTATTATCAGGCACTAACCAGTTGCCCTAGGAGATCTGGTAGCATAGTGCCTAAGGCACTTGATTGCTAACCAGAAGGCTGGCGGTTCAAACCCACCAACCACTCCTCGGAAGGAAGGTTGGGCAATCCTACTTCCGTAGTGATACTGCCTCGGAAACCCAAGGAGGGGTTGCTATGAGTCGGGGTCGACTCGACGGCAAACAACAACAACAACAACAACCAGTTGCCCTGGCATTGATTCTGACTGTGGCACCCCCACGTGTGTCAGAGTAGAATTGGACTCCATAGGGTTTTCAGTGGCTGAGTTTTCAAAAGCAGATCACCAGGCTTCTTTTTCTGAGCCACCTCTGGGTGAATCTGAACTATCAATCTTCTGTTTAGCAGCTGATTGCTTAACCATCTGAGCCACTCAGGGACTCCATCATGCACTACTACTGCTCATTTAACATACAACAGTTCCTTGTGATCACAACTTGGCTTAGCAAGCACTTTTGAGTTCATCTCTCTCACTGAACTTCTCAACAGCCTGAAGGGAAAGTACGTCCATTTTACAGATGGAAAGCAATGTCTGAGAGGGAGGCACTCCTGCTCTTTACATGGTAGGGCTGGAATGCAATGCTACAGCCTACACAGCTTCCTCCACCACATACCTGAAAAGAATTCCCATCTCCTGAAGCCATCATGGCCTTTCCAGGGAGCAGAATGAATAGTCAAGGCCTGACATTAAGAGGCCAGGAGGTTAATGAGAAGGTTGTGGGAAATCTAGGCCACTTACCATTACTGAATGTTTTGATTCTACAAAAGAATCCTGATCAAAAGGCATAAAATACAAAGCAGAATTTAAAAATCTCATGGAATACTGACTTTGAAGCGTCATGGAGGCTAAATGAATCCCCAAAACTACTGCCTGAGATAATCTTAAAATCTTAAACCATAAATATCCTGACATCAAGCTCAACTGGCATAATATACTACACAAAAACGTTGTTCTACATCCTGCTTTGGTGAGTAGTGACTGGGGTCTTAAAAGCTTGCAAGTGTGTGTGTGGGGGGAGCTTGTGAACAGCCACCTAAATGCAACAATAGGACTCTCCTCATCCAGAGTAAACAAGAATGAAGAAAAACCAAAGACACATAGAAACTAGCTCAAAGGACTAGTAGACCACGCAATCCTAGATGGTGCCCGGCTACCACTGTCAACCACTAGGAGCAGGGATCGGTACAGGAGATCCTGAATAGAGTGGGAAAACAATGTTGAACAAAACTCAAAATCATTGAAAAAAAAAAAAAAAAAAGGACCAGGTTTGCTGGTCTGACAGATCCTGGTGAGACCCCTGAGACTATGGCTCCTGAGACTAGTTACCCTTCAGGTCTGGAACTGAACTGACTTCTGTGGCCACCAGCCAAACAATAGACAGGCATATAGGGTGAACATTTACATTAGGTAGATACACTTCTTGAAGCGATCAATTGTGGGAGAACAGAGGTGTTTGCACAGGGAGACAGGAATTGCAGTCAATGTCATGAAACAAAATGTGTTTGAACTGCTGTATGGAAAACGAATTTGCTCTATAAACTTTCACCCAAATCACATTAAAAAAAAAAAAGTACATATACATATGTGTATATATGTATGTATATATAACTTTATCTCCCCTGAAGTCTTCTTAAAACCAAACAATAGTTCACCTTAACTAGTAAACAAAGTCTGTCTTGAGCATCAATGCTATTTTAACATCTGTCTATAGGTGCTCTGGTGGTGTAGTACCTAAAGCATTTGACTGCTAACCAGAAGGCTGGCAGTTCAAATCCACCAGCCACTCCTCGGAAGGAAGACGGGGCAATCTACTTCTGTAAAGATACCACCACAGAAACCCAAGGAGGAGTCACTATGAGTTGGAATCGACTAGAAGGCAGTGAGTTTTTTTTTTTATATGAGATCAAATTCACAACAGCAACTTGAAAGGATAGGTTAGAAGGCAGTGAGTTTATGTTAATGGGAGTGGAA